CCTTTTTTTTTTTTTCCCTTCAGTATTCTGGGGTGATGTTTATCCTTGCTGATGAAGTGTATTTCTTGGATGCAGCCAAAAGAAATCTATCCTTTCTTTCTTTCTTTCTTTCTTTCTTTCTTTCCTTCCTTCCTTCCTTCCTTCCTTCCTTTTCTTTTCTTTCTCTCTCCTTCCTTCCTTCCTTCCTTCCTTCCTTCCTTCCTTCCTTCCTTCCTTTCTTTTCTTTTCTTTTCTTTCTCTCTCCTTCCTTCCTTCCTTCCTTCCTTCCTTCCTTCCTTCCTTCCTTCCTTCCTTCCCTCCCCTCCTTTCTCTTTCTTTTTCTCTTCCTCTTTTTCTTTCTCTTCCTTTCTCACTTTGTCTCTCTCTTCCTCTCTTTGTCTCTCTTCCTCTCTTTCTCTCTCTCTCTCTCTCTCTCTCTTTCTTTGGCCTACTCGTTTTGTTTTGTGTGTTTTTGCCTGCCTGTATGCCTATGCACCATGTGCATCCTTGGTTTTGCTTTTTGGAGGTCAGAAGAAGGAATTGGATCCTCAGGAACTAGAATTACAGATGATTGTGAACCACCAAATGGGTGCTGGGAACTGAATCCAGTCTCTTAGTCTGTGTCTTTTTATTGGGAGAATTGTAGCCATTGATGTTGAGAACTATCAGTGAGCAGTGTTTATTGATTCTCGTTATTTGATGTATGATGTGGGTTATTTACCATCCACACCGTTTGGTTAACTGTTCTGGGATTATTTATTCTTCGTGTATCGAATATAGTTAACCTCTGCAAACCGAGGTTTTCTTTCTAGTGCCCTTTGTAGATCTGGATTGGTAGATAGAAATTGCTTATATTTGGTTTTACTGTGGAATGTTGCTCATTCTCTGTCAGTTGTGAGTGATAGTTATAGTGTATGTAGGAGCCTGGGCTTGCATCTGTGATCTCTTAGTTTAAAGAAATCTGTCCGTGCCCTTTGGGTTTTCAGAGTCTCCATTAAGAAGTCATATTCTGATGGGCCTGCCTATATATGTGATTTGTTCTTTATCCCTCGCAGATTTTAACATCTTTTCTTTTCTCCTATATGTTTAATGTTTTGATTGTTATGTGTCATGGGGAGTTTCTTTTCTGGTCCCATCTATTTGTTGCTTTGTGTGTTTATACTTTGATAGGCACCTTCTTTATTATGGGGAAAATTTCTTCTTTGATTTTGCTAAAAAATACCTTACTTGCCTTTGACTTAGGTTTCTTTTCCTTCCTCAGTTTCTATTATTTGTAGATTTGGCGTTTTCATTACATTTCTCGGGGCCTATAGCAGCAGGTTTGTTTGTTTATGGAGGGGACCTGTTGTCTTTGCTGTTCATAGTTGTGTTTTGGGGGCTCTGAAGTAGGCATCTAGTTAGGATTATTGGCGTTGTTTCTTGGTATAGCTGTCTGCTCTTGTCTTTTTTGGATGGGTGTTTCATGCTTTGGTTGCTGTTGCCCTCTCAGGATCCTAGTTAGTTATGATGGTGTGGGATCCCTAGTTGAGAGTGCTTTTGTGGGTTGGGTCAGCAGGACAAAAAGATGGGCTAGGAGGAAAGGCTGAGAGGCTCAGTGAGAAGCTGGGGCCACACCAACTGGGCTGATAAACCTTGAATAAACTGTTAGTGATCGATTGTCTCCACTTTGAAGTTACAGGATTGCTTGCCTTTTTTTTTTTTTTTTTTTTTCTGAATTAGATTTTGTGGTGTTTGCCGTTCTGAATTTTAAGGACATTTGGAGTATACTATTAATAGCTTCCCATTAAGCCAGTACCTATAGGGCTGAGTATTATTAGTCATTCCCAAGAGAAACGAAAAGGAAGCATGAAGAAAGTCTTCCTAAGGAAGACTGGAAGGGAGAGTATTTGTAGCCTTCAACATGCTGGAAAGTCTTGTAGTAATACATGCTGGGAGATTTGGTCAGATGCATTTTTCTTTCATTGTTACCAGAAGTATACACCCATCCCGCAAAGTTAGGAGAGGAGAGGGAGCAGCAGAGCAGACTCCTGAGGGAGAACGAACTATGTGAGTGAAATCCTGTTAGTATTTATGAGGTTATACATACAGAGCCTTAAGTGCACCAAGCCTTTTCACACACTAAGCTGAATAGAATGTTGCTGTTGATGTGGGTGAGTGTCCTTGTAGCTGCCACTGACTTAGTCACTAAGTAGCATTATTTGGGAAGTCTGTTTATGAAAGAGGCCCAGAAGGTTTCTTTGTTTGGAGAATGCAGTAGCTAAAGGGTTGTGACATTTACCATTTACATGTCCTTTAACAACAGCAAAGTGATGTTAGTGTGAATCCTCAGCCTATAGGTAGCTGTGATGTAAAGTAAAAATCCAGTCTCTTTCAGATTAAATTTAGCTGTGAGCAGAAAGCTGACACAGCCCTTGGGCTGCATGTGTGGTCCAACACAACATTTGTAAACTTACTTAAAACCTGAATTCCACACCTGAGCGTATACACAAAGAACCCTGTGCCACAGGGTTATTTGTACCCCATGTTTATTAATGTAGCTAGGAAATGGAACCAACCCAGTCTAAGAGAAATGAATATTGAAAGTACATTACATAGATAATGTATAATATTTTCAGCTCTAAGGAAATGTGTAATTGGGCTGGGGAGATGGCTCAGCTGTTAGAGGCTAAACACACAACCATAAATAGAAGAAAGGTGAAATTATGAATTTTTCAGGAAAGTGCATGGACTTAGAATATATAATATTAAACGTGATCAGCCAATCTCAGAAAAAAAAAACCCACACGTTATCCCTCCATTGCTGGTTCTTTAGCATGAACTTTAAATATAACAACATCATGTCACAAGGTCAAAAGGGTACATATACATGGTTGGCACATTGACTTCTGCTTTAGATTAAAAGCCTTTACTTTTACAAAAATTTGAATTTGACCATTGTACAGCCTAAATGTCAAAAATTGGTTGAACCATTGGGGAGAAGGATTCTGGAAAAAACACTGTTGGGTTTTTTGTCTGTTTGTTTTATTTCTGTTTCATTCACTCAAATTGTCATTCATTGATTAGTCTTAGGCAACTTAAGAAAGCTAATGGTGGGGACAAGAGTGCTGCCAGAAAATTATTAGTTAAGGAAGGTGATATTGCATCACAAGAAGACCAACAGAGCCAACAAATCTGGGCCCCGGAGCTCTGTGGAGACTGTACCAACCAAGGACCATGTCTGGAAAGGACTCAGGCCTCCTACTTAGATGTAGCCGACAGGCAAGCAGCTCAGTCTCCATGTAGGTCACCTGGGGGAGTAGGGGCCTATCTCTGACATGAACTCTGTTGCCTGTTTTTCAATCACTTATCCCGGGCAAGGTGCCCTTGCCGGGTCACAGGGGAAGAGAATGCAGGTGGTCCTGATGAGACTTCATAGTCTGGAGTCAATTGGTAAGGGAGGAGGGCTCCCCCTTTCTGGAGGGGGAGGGAGGAAAGAGGTGTGGGGTGGAACCGGGAAGAGGTGAGGGAAGGGACTACGATTGAGATGTAAAATGAATAAATTAATAAAAAAAAAAAGGAAGGTGATATTACATACAGAGTAATAAGAGTTAGATTTTGTTCTTCCTCCTCCATTGTGCTAGGGATCAAACAAGAGGTCTTGTGCATGCTGGGTGGGCAAGCACTCTACCACTGAGCTACATCCTCAGCTCAGCTTATTCACAGTTTATATTCATTCCTGGTTCAGATTCTAGTGGTCCTTGGTGAGTTGGATTAGTTGAAAAATATTCAAGTAGATGTCAGTTAAAGAATAGTTTTATATTTGAATGTTTAGAGAAATGAATCTTCCTTATCACATTTGTGAAATTTGATTTTAACAGCCGGTGGTTCCTGTTTTTATCTACATGGTAGTCCCAGTTGAAGATGAGTTAGTCCCTGCTGGTACCTCCTCACTCAGACAGTACTTCAGAGTTTCAAAACAGAATACTGTTGCTTCCCTTAGTAACATTGCATCTATCCATTTATTTTTACATGTGTGGATATAGCATGGATGTGTCCTATTTTTTCCTTCTGAAAGTACTAGGCCTCAGTGGTTACCTTTTGCTCTTCCAGAAGACCTGGGCTTAGTTCCCAACACTCACATGGCAGATGAGAACTGTCTGTAACTCCAGTTCTAGGAGATCCAGCTGCCCTCCTGTGGCCTTTGAGAGCACCTAAACACGCACATGGTGTGCATACATACACAGGACAAAACACAGAAGATAAAGATGAATCTTGAAAAGGACTACAAGAACCTTAAGAAATATCTGTTTGCTGCTTTTGTTTGTTTGTTGTGTGTATTTTTATGTTGCAATGCTAGGGTTGAACCCAGGTCCTTCTGTGTGTGCTAAACAAGCACTCCATCATTGAGCTGTACCCATAACCTCTGCCTTTGCTGGTTTTAATGTTAAACTGAGTTGTATAGTCTGACCAAGATTTAACTGTAAGAGATTCAGGCAGTGCAGCAGGTAATGGCACTTGCACCAAGCCTCAGCTGGGTTCAGTGCCCTCCACCGCACAGTGAAAGGAAAGAAATGACTTCATGAGCTGTCCTCTGACTTCCACATGAAGGTCATGATGTGAGTGCCCCAAGAAAGAATGAAAGCATAAGTAAATGTAAGAGTGTAATTTACAAAAAAAAAAGAGTGTAATTTACAAAGTAAGAGGTTCCCCTTCAGAACTTTGATTAATCTATAAACATGTTGGTTAATAGTAAAAAGAGTGGCTCTAAGCAATCTAAGTGTGAATCTCAAGGCTTATACTACAGAATGTGACCCTCTTCAAATCCAAACGTATTATGAGACATGCCAGAGCCAGTCTCACAGTAATACCTTATTAAAAAAGTAATTGTCCTCTAACAGTATGTTTCCTTTGTGTATGCATCTCCTAATGATTGATGTTACCACACTCTCCCACAAGATGGCAGACCAGACCCACTTATTTTATGGTACATGCCATATGTTCATGCCCTTGATTACTCTTGAAACCTTTTTCTGTTGCTTTAGGTGGGCGGTATCAAACCGAGAAATGCTCATAGCCCAAAACAGCTCCTTGGAATTTAAGCTACACCGACTGTATTTTATTAGTTTGTTAATGGGTGGAACTACAAATCAGCGAGAAGCCTTACAATATGCGAAAAATTTCCAGCCATTTGCCCTAAATCATCAAAAAGGTGAGTCTGCAGTCAGACAGCTTTTTTTCTTTTGTGCTTTGTGGAAGGAGCATGGGCAAGGTGGGGAGAGCACAGCGATTTGAGACAGTGTGTCTGTGAGGCCCAGGGTGGTCTCATACTTGTGATCCTCTTATGTCAGCCCCCAGAATGCTAGCAATACAGATGACGTCACCAGCATGGCTTGAGTTAGAGATTCTTGGTGTTTGGAAGGAGCCAGTAGCCATCACTTGTGTCCCTCACACACATTTTCTAATGAGTTAACATTGTTGGGATAACTGGCAGTAGAAACATTAAGCAGCAGCACAGCACTGAAGCCAGAGAGTGCAGAGTTAGGGACTCCTTAATGTAAGGACACCGACAGGACCAAGGTGGCAGCTTAAGTCTAGAAGTTCAAGTATTTTCAGTGCTTTTCTTTTCTCATTCTCTTCATGCGGTACCCTTAATTTAGAGGGAGAAACTTTGCAGTTACACTTACGGACCAGAATGTTTACATTATTTTAGGATAGGCCACATGAAATAGAGATGTATTTAGCTGTCTCAACCTATTATTCACATGTATTTTAGACATGACTGTGCACACTTCCATTTTGCTGGTGCCTTTTCTTTTAGACATTCAGGTATTGATGGGAAGCCTTGTGTACCTGAGACAAGGGATTGAAAATTCACCCTATGTTCACCTACTTGATGCAAACCAGTGGGCTGACATCTGTGACATCTTTACTCGGGATGCTTGTGCCCTCCTGGGGCTCTCCGTGGAGTCTCCTCTCAGTGTCAGGTGAGGGGCTGGGCCCTGGTTGCTCTGAAATGAACACTATGCTGGGCAACTTTTCCTGTTGCCTTTGTGATTAAACCCGTAGGTTGTGTTGTGTGTAGTTGGTACAGTTGGGGGGCAGCAGTTCTCCAAGTGTGATCAGGGAACCAGGGAGTCCAGAGCTCTTTCACTGCTGACATTCGTGCAAATGATGCAGAAATGGAAGTGAGTTAAGTATGAAGGTCTGTGTTGTGGGGGCATTGATACCAGCCTCAGCAGGACTTGCAGCAGCTCCTCACTACCCTTCTGCCTGCCTGGGAAATGCTCACTGAGCTCTGTAGTGCTTTGGTGGGTAGTAAAGACTTGTTTTAAGTTGATATTTGGGTCTATATCTTTTTAGCATTCTGTGTGACCCAGTAGGTATTTATATAAGACATTTAGTTTCACATCACAGTGTGAGGCTTGTCTTGAGACAAAGCAACTGTGAGTTATGAACTGTCTTGTTACAGGATACAGTTTTTACTTGAACTAATTTGTGACACTCCATATGTAGTATGTTTATTGTAATTTTAAATGAATTAATCACTACATTTTAATTTACGTAAGCTTGTCACATTAAAGGAAGCAAGTGATGCCAAGTATGTATATTTTTTGATACAATGACAAAGGTCAAGGTTTTAGACCAGGTTGAAATTTTTGGTTTTGAGTTTGTAAAGGTTTTTCTGATGAAATTGGTAATGACAATGTAGTTTTTTTATATTGTAAACTGGAGGGAAAACTTTGGAAAGTTTAATTCATATACCCTTACATAATCATACACAGAGAAAAGACAGGCTTGGAAGTGTTTCTTGTTCTTTAAATGTAAAAGCAAAAACCACCGTGTCTGGAGGCACACTGGCACTAGTCCTTGTACTTTCCTCAGCCCTCCTTGAACTGATGAGATTCATGCTTCTTATAATGATGGCTCCTTTCTTTCAGCACTGAATGCCAGAGCTGCCTCTCTTCTTATAGGCAAAACCTGTAATTTTTTTTAATTACTGAGGAAGTAAGAAGAAATTAAGCCATCCTATCAAAAAACTATCTTTTTAAAATTTGCTCTTTTTCCTTATGTCTCCCATACTTGTTAGACTTATGTAGTAGCATTAAGGTTTTAGGTTTTGTTTGTAGAGGGATTATTTTAGTAACTACAGGAAATGTAGCTGATAGCAGGAGGCTCAGGGAGAAAATATTTTTTTTTCTTCTTTTAGAGAAATAGCTGCTCTGCGGTGTCCACTTGCCAGGTTCTGTGCTGTGGCATTCTGAGAGTTGGCACTAATGTCCCTCTTCTGCCCTCAGTTTCTCAGCAGGTTGTGTGGCACTGCCTGCGCTGATTAACATCAAAGCTGTGATTGAGCAGAGGCAGTGCACCGGAGTCTGGAACCAGAAAGACGAGTTACCTGTGAGTTCTGTTGGCAATTTACTTACCTTTGCTGCTGCAGAAGATGGATGCTTTAAGAGATAAAAGTGCTCTTCCTAACCAGGAAAAAAAATGTAGCCATTCAGCAGGGGGTTTGTTTTTATTTTCATGCACGTAAACATGGCTGAAAAATAAGGTTGAGAGTATATCTCAGTGGTAGACCGTTTGCCTGGCAGGCTTGAGGCTGTGAGTCCAGCCCCCAGCACCACTCTGAAAAGGAAACAAGCCAGTTAACTAATAAAAATGAAAATAGTTATGAGGCGCTGATGGTATACACTAATTCCAGTGCTCAGAAGGCAGAGGTAGACAGATCTTTATGAGTTAGAGGTCAGTCTGGCCTGTATAGTGAGTTCCAAGGCAGCCAGGGCCTCAAAGTGAGACCTTGTCTCAAAAACAAAAAAACTAAACAGGAAAATCAACTTGAAGACCGTAGTATCTTTTGGAGACATTGGAGGACATTGGAGGACTGTCTTCAAAATTTTGAATTCCAGTTGCAGTTGCAAGCTGAAGAGTGCAAATATCAGAACCGGGGAGAGTTATGCATTCTGTTAGCACACAGTATTGCGTTATGAACTCCGTTTATCTATAAAGGAGGCCCCCTTTCTCTTTTGTGGGCTATTGAAGCCTAAAGTAACAGGTGCATTGTGGCTGCCATGGTGGTGGTTATGTCAGGTGCAAGTGTTTTGTTTGGCACTTTTTGCAGTGGACACCAAGACTTTAAAACAGTTACCATTTCTGACACAGTTACATCACAGACCCTGGAGGGCTGAATTAAGCTTTGACGTGGCTGGCTTCTTTTTTTACCATACCTGCACACAGGTTTGCCTGCATTTACCTTGTTCTTTCAGCTGTAAGCCTGCCTTGTCAGTTGGTTGCACCAACTTCAAGAGCTTGTTGAAGATAGTCTATGACTAAAGACACAGGTGCCTTTCCAGTACTACACATGATCAGGGCATAAGCAGCACACTCTGCTCTATTGCTGCTGCTTGGGCACATGCAAGAACTCAATTCCTGAGCCAGCTGCTCAGGCACAGACCTGTAATCCCAGCACTCAGGGAAGCAGAGGGAGGTGGATCTCTGTGAGTATGAGGCCAGCCTGGTCTACAAAGTAAGTCCAGTAGAGCCAAGGTGACACAGAGAAACCCTGTCTCAAACAAACAAACAAACAAACAAACAAACAAAACCCTTGCTACCTTAAGCAGGTGCCCAGCTTCCAGCTGTGAGAATCTCTGAAATTTACACACTGATGCAGAGCAATCTGTAGAATCCCAGCTGACAGTGTGCACTTGGGGCTGGGAAAGCAAAAAGTGGTAGTGGTTGGTAATTTCCTTATGATTGCTTTGATGTACTTTTGGCTTTGGCTTTTTTTTTTTTTTTTTAAATACTCTTAGTAAGTAGTGCAGTTTGGGTTTTCTCTGATCCTCCCAGGCACTGGGTTTACAGGTGTGTTCCACTATCTTTGTGGTACTGTAGTTTGTGTAGTTTGGACTCGGCTCCCTGTGCATACTGAATTTCACCCCCTACTCTTTGTCAGTTTTCCTTAAAGAATCTTATATATAGTCTTTGTCTCTGGCTGGTGTGGAGCTTATTGTACAGATCAGGCTATCCTCAAACTCAAATCCCTCTTCTCTGCTGGGTTCAAAGGTGTGTGCTCTCACACCTGGCAGGAATGGACTTTCAGAATAATAGCTATTGTAGATTGAGGAGGAGGGAAAACGGTGTATTTGTAGAGTTTCTAGTGCACAGCAGCCACACTACTCGATGATTTCAAATTTTCATGTGTGTTTTTGGCAAAAGCACGATACTGATACCATGTCATGAGCTTGAGTGTGCATATCACAAAAGATACTGGTGAGATTTGGCTTAAGTCTAAGTCCAGGCTCATAGGAGGCTGAGGCAGGAGGATTACAAGGCCTGGCTGGGCAACTTACCGAGATCCTGTCTCAAAAAGAAAAAACAAAAACAAACAAACAAAAAAACACTTGAACACATGCACAAGGGCTGAGTGTCAGGAGGTAGGTTGGGGTGCTGGCCTTAAATAACTTGGTTTACCTCCCTGCTTGAGCTTTTCTCTGGACCATTTCATACAAATTACATAGGAAGCTCAGATTTGAAGCTCACACAGATGATCACTATATTTGGACTGCTCGTGGCAGGGTTGTTGCACTGAATTTACCACCTAACCGAGTGCCACAGAAGAGCCAGGAGGCTGGTGGTTTCCCCCTTGGTATCTATTTTGATGCATTTCAAAATATCCATTTCAAAATTTCAAAATGCATTTCAAGGTATCCTGGCCAGGGATGTGGCTTAGGGGTGGTCACTCACAGACCGAGCTGTGAGTTGCTGCCTAGTCACCTCAGAGGTGGCAGGTTTGATTCTCTCAGACCTCAGAATTTGTTTACAAACTAGTAATTTTGCAAACTGGAAGTTTAACTAGCCTGTGTGTGTTTTTCTTTTTGGAACAGATTGAAGTGGATCTTGGTAAAAAGTGCTGGTATCACTCCATATTTGCCTGTCCCATTCTTCGTCAGCAAACAACAGATAACAATCCACCCATGAAATTGGTTTGTGGCCATATTATATCAAGAGATGCCCTGAATAAAATGTTTAATGGTAGCAAGTAAGTATGTGACTTCTTAAACACGAAATAAATCATCTTGCAGGAAGATAAGATGTAATAAGGATAAATGAATGCACCTAAAATCATTCATTCATTTAGGTTTTCCAAAACAGGGTTTTTCTGTGTAGTCCTGGCTGATCTGTAGACCAGGCTGGCCTCAAACTCAGACCTCCAGAGTGCCCCACCATGCTAAACCATAACTAGATTTAAAAACGAGTTTCTTAGCTATTCATAGAAACTGGATTACATCTAATCTTTGGTTAGTTTAAGCTACTCAAGGATTTGGTGATGTGATTTATAACCTACTGTGTACACCCTTCTCTGCTTTCCTTTTCTCACTTGGGGATTTATTTTGGGGTATTTTTATATGCTTCATAAGAACCCTTTGTGTTCTTGTTAAAGTTAACAGAATAACACGGCATGATGTGCATGCTAATAATCCAGCACCTGAGTGGTAGAGGCAGGAGGACCCTGAGTTCAAGATTATCCTCAACTCCATATCAAGGTAGAGGGGTGGTCCTAAGCTACATGAGATTGCATCTCCTCCCAAAATGTAGACTACTTTGTAGTATGGAAATGAGCTTACTTAGCCAGTTTTCTATTGGTGAATACAGTGCCAGAGTACGTTATCCATTTATCCATGCGATAAATTCCTACCAGGGTACTCATGGTTCAGAGTATATGGACATTTGTAATTTTATAGATAATTAGCAAAAGAAAAGAAAAAACTTAGGCAGTTAGGGTAGTTTTTACTGATGTTGGTTCTGGCCCCATTGTGGGAAGTCCCTTTCCTGGGAGGTCTGTTCTTTGATAGAAACTATTTATAACTCTCCCTAGACCGTACAGAAACTCAGTCAGTACAGCTCACTCGTGACCTTGTTCACATGGAGCCAATGTTCTTTGTCACTGAAAGGCATGTGGGCTCTTCCTGATGCAGGATTGGGAGCTCGCAACAGATTTGCTCTAAGAGCATATACAGTCGACACATGTGACATATTCACTTAGGGACAGTGCAATATAAACCTTAGTGGAGCTTTAGGTTTGCTTCTAAAGTAGAGCTTTATTTTACCAGCAGAACAGTTTTCACTGATTACTAAGTATTAAAGAGGCTTTCAGGTTAAGATCTGATTTAGGTTTTATTTTCTGTGACCCTTCAAATCTTGGCTGGCAGTTATGTTAAGGAACATAGTTAATCCTCCAGGCAAAATAAACATGTAAGCTGTGCTTTGTACATGCAGTAGGTGTGTATACAGGTATTAAAATGTACTCTCTATACCTAAGTAGAAATGGAGTGCTCAGTGCTGATATTGTTCCTTGACTTAATCTTTTTTATCTTGTGTTTAGATTAAAATGTCCATATTGCCCAATGGAACAGAGTCCAGGAGATGCCAAACAGATATTTTTCTGAAGAAATGAGTTTGTTTGCAATTTGTAAGTGAAACTGAATTATGGGTACATTCGAGACAAGAGTGTTCCATTGACTGCAGCTGTTCAAGGACTGCCCCGTTTATAAGCTGTGCTCCAGAAGCTGCCGACATGCTAGTGTGCGTGGAGGGAGAGCCCCAGCTGGGCATCACATAGGGCTTTATTCACTCTTGGTCTTCGTTCCTGATCAAGCAAATACACCAGCAGTTGTCATTCAGTGCAGGTTTTTATACTTACTATATGGTGATTTTTTTTTTTTTTTTTTTTTTTTACTGCAAAGCAGAAACAGAAGTTGACCTTCCTGACATGTGTTTAATATTTCCCCTGCTTTTACTTCTGTAATTTTCTTGATAATTGTAAGCTTGAGAGTGTTTGTGGAAGAACTTTCTTTCTTGTATATATAATTAAATGAAAATTCTTCATAGGAGTTTGACAAATTGAATTGTGGTCATAAAACAAATTTGGGTTTTTTTGTTTTCTTTTTGGCTTAAGGAAGAAAGCTGTGATAAATTCCAAATTTGCATAGCTTTTTGATGTTTTTCTCTGCTCCACTCTTGCTTCAAAGTCAGCACGCATGCAATTGAGTCTATAGCCCAGTAGGCTGCCTGTTTAAAATTCCATCATGAATTTAGCAGGCTGATGTGAGAATGAAAGCTATTACTGTTGGTTTTTTTTCTTTTATTACCAAGAGGTGCTTTTTTTTTTTTTTTTTTTAATAAATGGAATTCTGAAGTTAGGGTGTTACTAAGTTGAGATACGCTTTCTGTCTTGGCACCCTGTCTTTTGAAATCTGCCTTTAAGATTTGGCTGTATCACATTAGTTTATCAGCACAGACATGCAGTGTTGTGCATGTGCGTATGAATATGTGCGCCAGCATAAAACACTGTGTTTGTGGAAGGGAGGAAGCATGTTCCGGTTCTACATGCAGGTGCCAGACTTGAGGCCCTTAAGGATAGACACTAGCAACTTTGTGTACTGCGGACCTCGTTTGCTGCTGCTCTGTGTTTAATTAGTACATTGTTCATGCCTCTCTTCTGCAGTGTCCTATCCCATTGACTGTGAACCTGTATATTAATCAGATGGCTACAGATAATAATCTTTTCTTTTGTGAGGTATCTTCATTTAACACACTGCCCAGAAAGAGCCGTGTGTAAGAGTTATTCTCTATATGAGGAACTTCATGGAAAAGACTTCTGTGGACGTAATTCTGACTTAAACCCACGAAATACTTCGTCTTGAGAAGAGTGCTGTATAGACATCACCACCTTTATTTCATCTGATATAGGTCTGAACATCAACATAGGAATACTTTCATGAGAAAACGAAAAAAGTTGTAAACATGGAAGCAACAAGAAATGTGACTCTTCTATTTCAAACTACAGACGGAATTGGTTTAAGGGAATGGGGGTAACAGCTTTGGTGCTAAGATATTTAGAAATTGCCAGCATTCGTAGTGGTGTACTATATACTAGCCTGGATAGTGTCTCCTGAATTGTTTACCTAGGAGGGCTGGCGTTTGCTTGTGAAGGGAAAGTGTAATACTTGCAGAAAAGCCTGTGAAATGGCCATGTGGTCAGTTTCATGTTGATGGCTACTGTGTGCTGTGTAGGTTAGCTGGGGTCATGATTGATCCAGCTCAGAGTGCATGCTTTGTTCAAACTCAACCTGGCTCACAATGACTTCTATTTCCCTATTGGGATGCTCTGTAAAATCCCTCATGCCCCATGAAGCAGTGCAAGGAAGAGCAGAAACACTTCTAGACTGCAGGAGAGCGGACACAGTGCCAGGCAGTATCCTTTTGAGGGTATAAACTCATTTACTATGGATATTTTTTCCCTTGAATTAAATTCTAGAGTGACAGACTTTTTTTTTTTTTAAACCAATCTTTTTAAAACTACACCAAATTTGGTTTTTAGGGTTTTTTCCCCCTATAACTTATTCTTACCTTCCCACCTCAAACATATACACGACATTTAGACTTCATGTAAAGTTTGTGTGATACAGACATGCTCTTGAGGCTGGTGAAAATACTTCTGGAAGCAAGACCCTTCACACTGTTGGCTCAGGCCGTTTTAAGGACAGAGGCTCTGCCTGGTCCTCCTGGTGCTGGGAGTCTCATTTGACAGTCTCTTGTGAAGCTTATATAACTTTAAAAAGAATGAGCTTTAACATTTTTAACATTGTGTTTAACATTTTAACATTTTTAACATTGTGTTTGACCTTACAGCTTCCTCCCATGGGCAGGCAGGGCAAGGGCCCCCAGACTGAAACTTGATCTTACAATTTACCATGGAAATTAGGTCTGAAGCTCTTCTTTAAATGTGTGGACTTTATCTGTGAGAGACTGACTGCAGCAGAGGTGAATTTGAAGAAGGCAGACCTTGACCAAAGATGCTGACATACAATATTGGGATCCTTGACTCTAGAACCTCCTTCATGGTGGTATAGACCATGCCATCACTAGTGTCATGCTAATGCTGACATGCAGGAGGGTGTCATTTGTCTCTCTGAGTCTTATTAGAGAAGGTAATGCTAGAGGCAAAGATTGTCAGTTACACAGATAGCAGGCATTGGAAATGGCCCAGAATGGCTTCTTTGAGAGCCAGTTCCTTTCCTGGTTGTGGGCAAAGGCAGCCTTGAGACTCTGCTAAACCAATAAAACCTTCTTAGCAAATCTTTGGATTCTGGTATAGACAGAGCCTCTCTACAGTGGCTAAGATTTTCATTGATCTGTTTCTCTTTTGTGTGATCATCACAGATGCCATTTCTATTCTATTGATGATTATATGAGACTCTTAATACATAAATGAACGGGTATTGGTGCCTCTTTATTTTTAAAAAATTGAAGAAAAAGAGCCACCTCATATTCATAGTGTGTATTTTGTGAGTGTGTGAGCATTTAATTGAAAATAAGAAAGTTATGAAGTAAATTTTTCGTTTTACTTTTTCTACAGCAGCTAATGTGTAGGGAGACATTAAACCCACACCAAATCATGTGGGGGTGAGGATCCCCCAATCTTCCTCTCCAGGTGGCCAGTCCCACAGGCTGTACAGCTCAGATTCCGAATCTTTGTGTCATGTGTTGTTTCCACCTCCGTGGTGTCGGCCTTTGGGACAGTGTGTATCAAAAGCCAAGAGTTGTTGGTTTATCTACAAACACAAGCTGCTGGTAGACTACACTAGCCCTCTGGTTTCCCAGCGCAAGCTCTCATACAATGGACTGGCAGCTGCACTGTCCGGCGTGTGGTCAGCCGACTCAGGTTCTCTTCAGGGAAGATAAAGGCAAGCTTTGTTCTGGTTCTTCTCTAGGGTGTACAGTGAAGACAAACCAAATATTTTTCACCATTCAACTGTCTGTATGTTATCTTTGCTAACACTAGAGTAAAACACGAAGAGGGAGCATTAAGCAAGGACCACATACAAGGCTTGGTGTTTCATAAGCCTACCAGCTGACAGGTTGTATGTGGTACTGTAGTTCACCATAAGCAGGTACAGGCGTCATGAACTTTTCATACTGAATTATAATTGAGTAGATACCAAAAACAGAGTGGCAAATGTATTTTATTAGTAGCAGACGAGGCATTTAGTTTTAGGGTGAATTTTCCACTGTTGATTTTACTTTAAGATGTAGCAAGAGAACATTTTGTTTTTAAGGCATTTTAAAACTGTAGCAAGCATATGCTTCATTTACTTCCAAAGAGGCAAAAGCAGCTATCCTCGCTTACAGTACAGCTTCGCTCCATGGTATGGGTGGACACCTACACTTTTTAGTAGCAGCAGTCTTAAACTACTCACAGCCAGGTAGGTAGTAGTTAGTGCCTGAACATTTCTTTGGGAAGGGGCTCAAGTGAATGTCCTGGGGATGGAGGGAAGCAGAAGGAAATGGGAGTGTGAGTGAGTGTGCATGTGTGGAAATTCACCATCACCCAGAGCTAGCAAGCGACTGCTATTTGTCATGTTTTACTCATGACTGCAGCGTGCATGTATCTCTTCGCCATGTTTTCTAACCTACACTAAGGATTCACCAGATCATCTTGCTCAGATGGCTCAGGATTGTATTCCTTTGGCTTACCCCGTGCTCCTGGTTCTATGGTGTTTCTATAATTATGAATAGTGTTGCACTGTAATCTATCATATAGAGCTATATGTATGGAAATTTTTGATCAGTTTTTTAAGAGATGTATCCTGTTTGCAAAGGCACAATAAAATTGCATCTTCTAGATTATAGGCAATAAAGGTAACAATAAACATTATTTAACAAATCAGACTGATACTCTCTGCTCATTTGATTTTCTGAGGGGGCGTCTAACATATTCACTAGTTTCAGGGATTTCATTTTAACTTAATATGTTTAATTTATAAATTTTGAACTTATACAATAGAGTTTTTGAAAACTATAAGAAATGGTTTGTTAATGTGTGTGTATTCCTATGTAAAACACATGGCTTCTCCCGTGTATATTTTTTAAAATTAAAGAATTGCACATTTAAAAAGTGTTTTGTGGAACCAGTTTGTGAACTTTCCTTGGAATGCCTTTTCCAGGCTGATTGATCCAGGGTCACAATAAGGACTCGGGAGCCTAACTGTGACATCTTCAAGTTCTCATAGCAGGGTTTTTATAGAAAGAACCAAATGCAAAAGACATGGGGAGGGCAGTAACACATTTTGGCTAAATGTACAAAGCAATATGTTTTTTGCTAACTAGACATAGACAAGTGTTATCCTCCAACCTTTAAGTGAGGCATGGGTTAGGCTCTTCTAGAGAACATCCAAAGTGTAGCCAGGTGTTTAATAGGAAGCTAAGTGAATAGATAATAAGACATGAGTTATGACACTGTTGAATCATAGTAAAATATAAGGTCAATTTGACCCTCTGGCAGGGTCTGCTAGTGCCAACTATGAACAACCACTTGTAGGAAGCAGAGTTGGGAAGTTTTAAAAATTTGAACTTAATTTCACCTTAGAAACAAAACAGAGCTGAATACAAAGATGGCTGCGGTTATGTCTCAAATAGCAGGCTGCAACAGGTTGTGAAATAATCTCCCCATACCAGGATGTCATCCATGCAATAGTATATATTAAATACTTCATAATAGTTACAGCAGCCACAGCCTCTTGGTAGAGGGTGGGGCTGTTAGCCATTCCCTGAAGAAGAACTGTCCATACCTTGAGGCTGGCCCAGAGTTGTTAATGGGGGTAATGAAAATGCAAAGCGTTCAGTGTTGAGGACTAGCAAAAAAAGAAAAAGCAGTCCTTGATATCTATTGCCAATAGAGGGACATTGGGAGGAATGGTTGAGACAGGGCAGCCCCCTTTGAGAAGAATCCCAGACTTGCATGGTATTATTATTCCCTTTAAATCTTGTAGAGGTCTCCATCACCCTGAGCTCTTTTTTTATAGCAAGCACAAGGGTGTTCCGTGGACTGTGGGAGGAGTGAGTGTGTTGGAATAGAAGCTCCTCTTTAACAACAGCCTAAGAATTGGGGACGATGTGGAGGAGAGTTTTAAAGGCTTTGGGGGTATAATTTTCTTTATGGATATGATCGTCTATCCTGTTGCGAGTCCTTCCTGGTTGGGTAGCAAGCACCACTTTTAGAACTTCTGTGATGTCTCTCCCTAGAAGATTGGTGGCTATGTAGGCTGTTAGAGGGCATGTTAGACCAGTAGTTCCACAGGGTCTTCCTGTCTTTAAGCTTGTTTAGTGATGAATGTTTGGGAACAGCCTCCTATGCCTGCAAGTTGGGACCCAGGGTGTTCGTAATTAGGCAGCCTGCTTCTGGGTTGCCTAGCAACCTCTGATGTCATCATGTCACAGGCCAGGTAGCCACACCTGGCAGGCGTGCTCCTTAAAAGGACCAACCTGCCACTTTGTCTCTGTCTCTCTCTGCCCTTGCCCTCTCCCCTTTCTCTGTTGGGGCACCCCCGCCCCATTCACCCTATCATGTCTTGCTCTCTCCTCTCTCCATCTCCATCTAATAAATCTCTTTCATATAAAATCTGCTGTACACATCATCGTTTTCATTGGTGCTTTCGGCCAGGAAGGGCTCTGCTGGTAGCACCTGGTCTGGTCATGCCAGGACCTCTTTAATTGGACCATGATGCCTGCAACAGATTTCTCTCAACTGCCCTGCCCTTACCACACACACCTGTTCTTCTGCTCAAGGCTGCTTGAACTTGGCATCCTAGGTGCTCCCAAGCCCGGGAAACAGCGAGTACACTCACGCCAGACACTGAAACTTCTGCTTCATACACAGACACAGCCTGCTCCTAAACTATTGCTGTAAGTAAGCAATACTTAACTACTGACCCTGCCCACACACAGGTGGCTTTAAACTGTATCACTGCCTCAAGCCCCAAGGGGGATATTTTAAATGTCCTGCAAAGCGCCTGCCAGAAGAGGCCGTCTTGCAGAGGAAGGTTTTCAGTTGTGCAGACTTCACATGAGCTGTGCCACGCAGGCACAGTTTTGAACCAGGATGAAACAACCTTGACCACCAGCTAGCACCTGGTCTCACTGTGCCACCACAGTTGCACACTGCACATGGCAAGCCTCCATGTTTTTAAATAGAGAAGCCCCTCCATGCGCTTGACCCTTCCCTACTCCTACAAAACTCCAAGCCTTGCATTCTAAATACTGGCTCTCAATATTTCTGACCTCTAAGGTGCTACTTCCAAGCTTTTAAAAATCTTTTCTTCCTGATTTCTGTACACTCTGCTCTTAATATATATTTTTTAAATGCTTTAAATTCTTATCTAATGATTTATATAATTTTCTCATTTATAAGACTTCTTTAATCATAACTAATTCTCTAGGACAACAATAAGCCTCATTTTAAAATATGGATTTTTTAAAAAAATTTCAAGTTATGGTTTACAATATATATAATTCAACCCTGGCTCAATAATGCTAAAATTTCAAAGTTATAAAGGTCTATTCAAATTAAGCTGATTTAAAATATATGTCTAACTGCCTATGTCTTTATCAATTCCTAAGTTAATAAATGCTGTTTCTCCTGCCATGAGCTACCTATGATTGAGATTCACCACTAGGCTTTCTGGCTAGTAAGTTAGCTATAATAAATTCAAATCTAATTTTAAAATTGCTTTATACTGTTCTATGATACTGTTGGTTTTAAAACTCATAACTCAGGTTACTATGTTCAAGTTTTTACCAATACTCTAAATTAAGATCTGTTAATTTTAGAGGCATTTATTTATTTATTTTAAAACTTGATCGTTGTGCTATATCTTTACTATCAAAAGGTTAAAATATGCTTGGTCTTGTTTTCTAAAAATGGTATTATTATTAATCTATAGTATAACCTTTGACTTAAAAGCTATGAATGTTTTATGTACTAAATCATACAGAAAACTGTCATGCTCTCACTTTAATGGACTATAGGTATGACTTTTAAGGCTCCATAGTGAATGCAAGTTAACAGTCATCTCATAGATGATCAAGTTCTCTAACATGTCTCACTGCCATCTTTAATAAACAGCTGAGAATGGTCCTTGAGTCACCATACAGGAGTTGGTAAAAATAATAAGGGAAAAGCCTTCCCAAAAGGCTCATCTACAGCAAAAGCTATGCTTCAGACCTCGACTTCTGCTCTGAGACTGTTGGCATTCCTAAACAGAGAAAACAAAAAACAAAAACAAAAAAACAAACCAAGGTTTGCAATGCCCCATCCTGCCAGGGTATAGCCAAAAGTCAGTTCCACCAGGTGACTGTTTCCAATGCAGCCAAAGGAGATGCTGGGCCTGCAGCTGCCTCAACAAACCATGGCTGCCTGCCAGCAGACTGGCCTCTGGAACTTATAATGCTCCCATGCAGTTTTGTCCTCTGTGCCCAGACATGGAGGCTCAGCCAGCACAAGAGCCACAGACACTTCCAGCCTTCCACCTCCTTGGCCTGGTGGAGGACAAATGGCTCCTTGATTCAGCGACCACCACCACCCTCGCCCAGCCCAGGATAACATTGCAGGTCTGTTTTGGCCTCACACTGGGTCTCACGGACTTGTTGCCAACTTCTGTTTTGGGAGACTTCAGATGCCTTCTCAGTTCTCTTCATATGTAGGAGACCCAGCCTTAGGCCTGAGTCCTAGAGTTGCTATTGTCAGGCCTAGACACAATATGCCTTGTTGCCAGACTCAGGAAACAGGCCTGAATGGAACCTTTTACCATCCTTTAGCTAAAGGACATAAATGTTCATAGAGGTTTCACCTATGTCTCATGGTAAATAACTAAATACAAAGGCTCACCCCCCCAAAAAAAAAATGTTATTTGAGGGTCTAAGAAAATGTCTTGAGGTTGGTAAATGCAAGTTATAAATGTTTGAGGGTCTAAGAACGTGTCTTAAAGTTGGTAAATATAAGTTATAAAAGTTGCAAGGGCTAAGGTGATTTAAGGTATCTAAACAGGTAAAAAGGCTTAATATTTCCTCCTGTTGCTATGCTATGTTGACTGCCCAGAGCTTTGGCCTTTGTCAACAGAGCTCTGATTTATTAATCTAACTCTAATACAAAAACATTCCACTGTACCGTCCACTCTCATGGTTCCAAGCGCAAGATTTTAAATCTCCATAATGTGTCCTTATGCTAAAGGTTAAAATCAAGTGAGCTTTTGCCCCTTCTACTTCAGAAAAGGCTTCTGCCTTTTCAGAGCTCACCTTAAAGAATGCTTATGCTGTTAATACAAATGTGTATGTCAACTGCCTTTTCTACAATGTATATTTCAGTACAGATTCCAATTGTGATACTAACATGTCTGAAGTTTTATCTCCTTCATAAAACTTAAAAGTAATTCTTCTAAGCTTCAGGAATCCACCTGAATTCACCTCTCAGGTCAATTGGGCTCCAGATAAGTACTTATTGCCTATCTCAGAGGGTGGGATTCCTCCCCTTTCCCGGGTTTTGGGACTTCCCTTTCCTGACTACTTGATTGCTATCTCCTACATGAAACACTGGATGGATTGGTGAGTTCCCCTCATTGTCAGCATAAACACCTCTCTTGGTAGGAGAAGATTGACCCCTGAGCGTCCAGTAATTTCCTAGTACCTTTTGAGATGGAGGAACCCCCAACCACAGTCTTCACTGGCCATGGTTGACCTCCATTTAGGACTTCCTCTTTCCTTTGTTTGAGATTTTTATTTTCCCCTTCTATGTGCACATTCCCTCCCTACCTCCCACGCTTGTCTATGAAAATCCTAGTGCTAGGTAAACTGTGTGGCAGCTGTGCCCTTGGTCTCTGGCCAACGCTGATGAGTTG